ATAAATGGGGTCGAGTGACGTTCATCTATCGATTACTTAATAAGAAAAACGATTGCTGTTATGACTACATATAGATTTTAACAAAAATTCTTACGACCCTTTAAAAAAAGATATCGTTACCTGTGATCTGAACAAGCGATAAAAATTGGTGTCTTATTATCCCGAAGCGATGTTCGTGATGGCAAGTACATCAGATTGTTATTTGCTTGGGTAATAGAGCGTGAAGCTGAGTCATTTTACGAAAAACTCTCGCAGAACTTTTCAATAAAAAAATTGGCGTCACTCTCCGGTATATCGAAGATTTTCTCACATCTTTCCGCGCTTTACTTCCGTATGTTTAGGTTTTTCCTCTTTAAAAAAATTGTAAAATTGCGCGGTGATCCATTGTTCTAGATTATCTGCAAACCACAGATGGAAAATAATCTCACAGGACAAGTCCAAATATGTTAAATTACGCCTCCTTGGTAGCCGTTTGATATCGAAACTTCTTGACTTGTTTGATTAATTGTTTGATGAACTTTGGCTCCGAATTGTTGAAACGAGATATTGCTTAGGTAAATATTCCAATATTTAGGCCATGAAAAATTTACTAACAATCATCGATAGCGTTCTTCATTCATGCCAATGAGATTTTCACTCTCGCTTTCAAATAAATAAGCATCAGCCTAAAGTTAACATCAAACGGTCGTTCTTCTGGGATGGAAAGATAACTCGCAAATAGTCTTCACACTAAAAATGACAATTTTGCTGAGGTGAAAAGAAGACAAAACTGAGAGGATAACTTCCTTGAAAAGTGAGCAAAGACCTTCAATATGAGAACAATTACTTGCATAAAATTTGAGAGGCATAAAATTGCGAAGTGGCTGAAGTGTCATGAATTCTATAACTCCCTCTAACGCTCTTAGGAAACTTTGTTGCCCTCAAAAACCTCTCAAGGGCTTCATAAAACAAACAAAGATATAAATAAATCTGACGAATAGATTTGATATGCTCAAGCACCTCACCGCTGTCTAAACGATGGCCTCCGATAGTTGAATTCACCTCGCAAGCTGCAGCAGGAAACGATTGAAGCATTGAGATACGACGAGAGTTAAACAACAATGTCTGTGAAAACAATCATGATCTAATCCAATAGCAGGTCGACCGTTAACAAACATTTAACGATTGTCATGTCTTTGCTTGAGCTACTGTTCACTTATATTTAAATTTCATTTTAAAATGAGTATTGCTTTTCTCCTTCTTTCTGTTTCAAACTAATAATATAAAATTTTATGTTAATTGGCGTGGAAAATAAAAAAGAAAAAAAAGAAAAATTTATATAATATTTCTATCAAGTGTATTGGAGCGGCGATATTATTTAAAGATTTAAAAATCTGAAATATTTAAAAGAATTTGAGTGTTCAACACCGGATTATGTTAGCTCTGCCATTACAAATGTCTTGAGGATTGAGTAAATCGTGCGAATATATAAGAGAATCGAGTCCCTGAATCAAGATTTGTATGTCTTAAAGCATTTCTTCAGCACATCACCTACTTTCCTAAGGATAATGCATAGCGTCCTTAGCCAAGGCCTATTGAACAAGTTTGATTGCTCGGAGAGTGGTTGCCTTGTAATTTGCAGGGATTTTGCAGATTTGCAATTTAATAAAAATAGAGAGTTTAACCACTTATCAGAACTTTAATTTCACACCCAATCTCCCATTTCGAGGAAGAAAAATAAACAATTAAACCTCTAGGTCTGTCGTTTTTACTTAACCCAATGACTTAAAAGAGAAAATGAAGAGAAAGGAAAGAAAAAATTAAAATTTTATAATCTCTAATTATTTTGGGTGGGCGCAAGCCAGTTTTTCATTTTTATGCAAATATTCATCCATACATAAAAATTTCTATCGTTATATTGATTATAGTTTATGTGCAATGAGGAAAAAATTCAATTTGAAAATATGTGTTGGCAATTTATGCTATGCCGCAAGCATGTCCTTTGGACGATTTACCCCAACGCATAAGCACCCAAGTAGATAAACATCGCGGCTACCACAAAATCACCGCGACTTCGCGGGTTCAAATCTCAGTGCGGTAGAAATTACTTTGTCGCAGTTACAGCGATTTCTGAGCCGGTAAAAGCATAACACTCACCGAGTGGAAATGCATCGATTAGATTGCGGTTGTCTCTCTATCTATTTCCCTTTCTTTGCACCGCGTTGATCATACATAAAAAAAAAATAAAAAAAATCCAATGCCTACGTTCGTGCAAAAACTTCCAAATGTTTTGCCAAATTTTATCTTCATCTTTGCAAAAGAGGGAATGTTTACCATATATACCTATACCAAGGCGTCCCGACGGACTGACAGACAAATCTACATAGTTTTAAAACAAACGAATGTAATTCCAGTCTTCGGTGATGTGTGAAGAAAAACAAAGGAAAACACTATAGTGAGCCAAGGCGCTCTATTAAGTGTCCTACACTACCTTACCTACAACAACTCTTCAAACCTGGGGAGTTATATGGGAAGTGGTCGAAAACTGTACCATTGAGCCAAAACATGTCCGTGTACGAAATTTCATGAAATTATTTCAAAAATTATGGCCTGTGGGCTGAACACAAAAATAAAAAACAAGACGGGCAACCGGCCAGATGGACAGACAATCTCAAATGGATTTGGAAAGTGATTCTCTATCGATTGCTGTAATAAATCATCGGCCTATCTCAAGTCCTTCTTAGCGTTGCGCACATCCGCACAAACTTAATATACCCTTGCCCCCCCAAGCGGAGTAGTTTTTGAATATTGGAACCTTATTATCATTGTTATTATGTCATGTGATTTTTATATAATTAAATTATTATATCACTAATGTCAACTTACTATCCATAACATCATACAATCCATAAAACATAAAGAAAATGATTGTATTAACTTTGTATCAACTGTGAACAGCTCTAGACAAGCAAATACGTATGATCGTCTAATAGTTATTTATGCGTAAATTGTGTGAATTTAGATCTGCTCTATCAAGAAAAGGAAAATCTACTGCAAGAGCATGACGTCCGTTTGATTTTCAAATTTTTTTTTATCACTAATCCTTTATGCAAAAAGAAAGCAACCAAACTTCTTAAGTTAAAGGAGATATAAGGCAAAGATTACAAAGAAGGTTTTTGAACTCTCAGATTTTCCGAAATCAAAACTAATATTTATGTAAGCTTCGGCGGGTTTCTGATGTGAAAACATTTCCAACTGCTCTGCAAAACATACGTAAGCACAAAATTTGTTCGACACATGGACAACCTGATCGCTTCCTCTATATCAGAAACTGTAATAGACTTTACATGGATTTTATTTGGCTTCCCAATAAAAACCATCAAAATGTCGATTTATATAAATAGTATTTATATAGAATAATCAATAAAATAGAATAAGAAAATACGATCTCTTCTACGCTTGCAGTGTTATTAAAGTGCTTCAATAAAGCCCTTAACACATTTTTTTTTTTTTTTTTTTTTTTTTTAAAAAAAATTTTTAAATAAAAAAAAAATATTTTGGGCCTTGGGATGGGAGGCGAAAATTGCTTATATTTCTTATACTTTTCTTCTTCCAAAAATAGCTAATATATAAAAAATAAATAAATAAAAAAACGAAAAAAAAAAAAAAAAAAACAAAGTAATGTGTGATGGGTTTTTTATTCAAACAAAAGAGAAAAAAGTTGAGAATATATTTATGTATATTTCCATACAATAAGGGTGTTTCAACACATAACTCCCAGTGGAGTTAAACGAAGAAATATCACGACAAGCACCATTTATCGTCAATGTTGTTATTGCTATTTTTGCTTATTTTTTTTGTTTTTTTTTAACAAAATATTTTGGTGTTAAGTACAAATATTTACGATAACAACCATAAACAAGTGTTCAAGCAGACATTGTATGCGTGTGTGTGTGTGTGTGGGGTTAAACGCTTAACACTAAAAAAAAAATATATATATATATGTAGAGAAGGAATTGTATGCAAGCAAGGCTGTTACTGTCTAGCCCGCCCTTGCCTTCATAAATATCTACAAACGAACATATTGACAACTGCTGTGGTATTTGTGGAAATTTTTTGGCAAAAATTTTGCATAAATAGAAAAATTTGTCATGTTCCCATATATAGCATTTCCACCACCGCCGCTATCACCGTTATCGTCATTGTCATCGCCATTATCATCATCATCATCATCATCATCATCATCATCATCATTATTATCTTTCTCATATTGATAAACGCCCGCCCAAACGTCTTTAGCTTAGAAAGACTTTAGCCGAGTCTTGTAAAGTTTTGTCACATAACATGTGCTTTGCTTAGGAAGCTTCATAAACGACATGAACGATAAAGCGCCCTTCAATTTTTTAATATTTTTAAGTTTTTCTACTCTTTATTGCTGCTTCTCTTTTTCGGCAACATTCATACATAAACGACCATTATGTTGTAACTCATAATTTTTGTTGGAAATTTTTTCTGTTTTTTTTTTTCTTTGTTATTGCATTCTATCTTTTTTTTTCATATTTTTATTTTTCTCTCTGGTTCACAATGTGTTTCTGATAGGCTGGCAATAATATAAAAATTATTAGGTAAGAGCTTACAGTCTTTTCTTTATTTTTTTTGTACGTACGTTTATGTGTATGGATGTAACCCTGGTGCCATATGGGGATGTTTTAATTTTTTTTTTTTACTATGAAGCTTAACATGTCCAACACCACGACAATATAACGAGCATTGCTTTTTGTCGATGTGCGTTTGCGTGTGTGTGTGGGTGCGTGTGTGTGTGTGTGTGGTAATTTTACGAAATTCTGTTCAGTCACTTGTACAACATGTAGATAAAATATATGCACATTCCAAATGTTGTTGTTGTAATCATGGCTGTAGTCAATTGGTTTTTTTTCTGTTTTTTTTTTTTTTGTTTTCTGTTAAATTCTTTGCAAATTACACATTGTGTACACGTTGTGTTTACTCAGTCATATACTTACATCTCACGCTCAGATAATAACCAATCGATGAATATTGAAAATTTAAATGCCTCGATGTGCATTTATACCAGCCGGAGTGTTCGCGTCGTATGGATGTGAAGTTAAGAAAACCGTCACCAGTCTGAGGCACCTGTAAAAGAAAGAGTGCGTAGTAAATAATTAAATAAAAATTTTGCATTTTTTTTTTATATTAAATTTAGTAGACTTTGGAGCTATCATCGTACCATTTTCTCAACGCCAAAGGCTTTCATAAGGAAATTTTATTATCAGCAATAACAAATAAGATACATTTATGCGCTCTTCTTCTTCTTTCTGCCTTTATATTCAAAGATTGAACTGAGTCCGATTTATAATTACAAATTTCTTTACAAAATGGCAGCAATAGCTCGATTAGTCATCAACTACTCAAATGTACGTTTTTAGCTAGAACTGGAGCCTCTATATCGACCGTCATGCCCACTAGCTTAATTTTTAAGTAGGATTCAGTTCATTTCATAACATGTAGGAGCAACTTTAATTTTCGTGCTCAAATTTCCGAAAGTTAAAGGATTAGACGGAAGGATAGAGGAGCATGGCTACTCCTGAGTATTGGAGAAGGTATAACATTCTACGTTCTAAAGAGAATGAGTTCAACAACGAAGACAGCGCACAATAATACTAATAAAAAATAAACGAGACAGTTGTCTTGCGTATGATGGTCGTAGGTAGGCTTTTGATAATCCAATTAATTTCTATTTTCCCATAGCTTTGAATGTCTATTGAAGTGTAAAAGAAAAATGAGCCCCGACCCGTGTAGGAAGTCATTCTTGTCTTGATTAATTGCTTAAGAAAACTGGGCGTTGTCTTTTAACATCGTTTATAATTTACTATACAAGCTACGTGCTTAGGATAATTATACTCCTTCGCTGATAAGAAATCATTGAGAAAAATTTAATTTTTGATTCTTTCTTTAATCTCACATTTATGTACAAATCCTTCAATTACCTTCGCTAATGCTAACATTAGCTAAATTAACTTTTAATTTTTTGATTATAAAATTTAATTACATAAAGTTAATAAAATTTTAATGTTGTTTAGTATTTAATAACCCCTTCAAAATTAAGATCGAAATTTTGACGGCACATGGCTTTATAGATGTAGCAGTGCAAATGCAGTTCTATATAGAATTCAATTCAATTCAAGATGTTCAAAGATGTTAGGTTTTGGATGGACGAAAATAAGTATGGGTAAAGCCGACCGTAAGCAAAGAGCTAATGTGTGATTGCATGTTTTATGAAAGTGAAGTTGAGCTAAAAATACTCATTGTGTGTTTTTATACCCACCCCCGTAGGAGGGGGATATATTCATGTTATCGTAATGTTTGCAACATCCAAAATGAAGCTTCAGAGACCCTATAAAGTATATATATTGTTGAGCAGCTTGCATTTCTAAAAGAATAAAGCCCGAATCGTCGACCCGAATGTCGGCCCGAATATGTGTCAATATGAGGCGCATTGTGTGTTGTTGATACTCTCTTGGTCGCAAAAATAAAAATATCGACTTCAAATTTGCTATTGGAAGCGGGCCAAATTTGCCAGGGGATACGCCCGCACTAAGACGCAAAGTGAATGTAACCCCGTTTCTCTAAATAGTAGTTTCTCTAGTATTTTGGGTTTTTGCTCATTCCTCACAAGTTACGAAAAGCAGATTTTTAATAAATATGGTGGACACTGCGACTTAGTGGATTAATTTTTTCTTAATATTAAACAAAAGAACTTGAAGAGTGAAAGGCGACAAGGTAAGTATGTCAGTTCTAAATTAAATACGGCCGGCGGACACGACGTAGTCACGACATGGAGCGCTAAATATTTTTGATGGAGGTAGGTAGGTAGAGATTCGGTCGCAGCCGAATGCAACCTTTTCACTTAGTAAATTTTGCTATGAAAATCAATCTTGTTTGAGACAAATATTTTGTAAAATTCGTGATTCTCTTGGATATACAAATCGTCGAAATGATGATAGGTCGGTCGGTGATGAAATTTGAAGAAACTACTACTGTCTACGATGCACTAAGATCTGGCAGACGAAGCGAAGAAACCACTGCTACCTTTGCTAAAAGTGTACCAGATGAGTCAGCAACAACAATTAGAAAGAACGCACCGCAGGCATGGAGCACTATTTAATTCTGCCGTACAGTGATTATTTGCATGTTGTTCTTTCCCTATTCGCGGCAACGGCATACCTAGATTCTAAAGAATCGTTAAGAGTGTCATGGGTCGTCTGTTTTCAGACTTCTCCAATTAGAACTTATCTTCAAAGGTGTCCCAAGAATTACTGAGGAGGCTAAGTATAATAAAGTGTGAATAGTCTGCCCGATGGATGCTGGGTTGATATCTGCCCCTTGCACATTAGGTGGAAGTAGTTGGCTGGCATCCAAGATATATGAATAATCCATAAGCTAGGGTACGCATAATAATATGACGCGTGTAATGCCGATAATTCTACTGCGTCATAGATAAAAACTGTGAAGTCCATCGGGGTCTGATTGTCGACTTGCTCAATATCACTTATATCTGTGATAGGAGATTTAAATACTGCGCATTAAACTTCAATAGAAACGGATATCTATAAACATATATGCTCTGCCTAATATTAATATTTCACAATTATGAATGGTTTTAAATAGGTATGCATGAGAAATGATGTAAGAGAAATGATGATTAATAAAATTAATCCCTCTGAGAATCTTCGGTGGAAGGAGGGTACATATAAAATTAGGCATGATTCGGTTTAATAGATATGCGAGCTGTAACCGCTTGCGTACGGCCCTTCGGAGAGTACTCAAGGTGGGGCCATTAATTGACTAGAGGTGCTTGATAAGGCTCGGAAAGTTTTGGTCTATAACTAACTTTCATATCTGGTATCTCAGTCTTGGAATAGACCCTCCCTCTTGAAGGGTTGTCTTGCAAGCTGAGATGTACTGTAAATCACTTATGATTACCTATGTTTCTAAGGAATTTGCTTGATAAGGCAGGTGAAAACAATAAACACTTGATACTACGTTTTTTTCATATAAAAGTTCAAATCGAGATGAACTGAATTATTTTCCATTAAAAGAAATTTAAAGAAATTTTTAGACACTTGTTGTATGCATTTGATTTAAAAGCTGTCGAAATAAATAAATGCAAGTCATACAGATTAAATTATCTAACAACAATACGATAAAATAAATTTGTTAAATCAGTAGTAAATAATTGGATATATAACATATATATATATATATATATATATATGAAATAATCAATAAATATTTTATACTAAAAGCAAAATATTGTTTTCGTTGCTTTATAGTCGAACAAAGACGCTAATGACAACTAAGTACATTAATTAATTAATTTGATATATTTTATTGTTTGCTTGAAAAGTTGTTCTTATAATTTACATTAAGAGGATGGCGAACACTATTGCAAGTAGACTCTGTTATATTTATATATATGTATATATAAATTTTTGAAAACTTCAAAACACAAAAGAACGCAATGAAACAAAAACAAATTTGATTTTTCTCATACGAATTTAATAGTTTGCTTAAAGTTATTGTAAAAGAAGACAAGAAAAAACTATTCCTTAATATGGCAATCAAAAGAGAAATAATAGATGCGAAGGTTGACTTGAAGTCTACGTCCGAGAAATATGTTATTATAAAATATGTCCGCTGATAAAATGAACAAATCTATTATCAATATTGGAAAATTCAGGAACAACAATTCCCTATAGGCATAGGCATGTTGTTCATTCGGTTTATATGAACGACAATATTCCCTAAAATATCACACAATTACGTATTTAAATGTTGTTTTGGGCAAAATACTAGCATCTCATTAAGTGAATGTATGTGGGGAACATAAGCATGTAAACAAATCGCACATCAAGTTCACAGAAAGAACTACAGACTAAACTATTCCCGTTGATGCGTTCTCAGTGACGACGTCTTAAACGACGGGGAAATACCACTTAATTGTCACCCAAGGGACCCATAGGGGGAATTCAGTCTTTTTTTGCAAGGTTTGAAGTACGATTTTCAATTTCGCAAAGTGAAAGTTGTTGGTGTGAATTCAGCCGCTTTTTCTCTACTTAGAAACAAATGTATAGAATTTCATTTTTTGATCGCATGATATGAGAGCAAGTGATACATTTAACAACAAATGGCAGATGATATAATTTTGTTAATGAAAAGATATCTTTTTTTTACTATAAGTAATATCATGAGACAAACATAGTTCCAAGTTATGCATTCTTGTAGACTTTGACTTTGAAAGTACTACGTCTGGGATCAGTTGGCTGAGAGAGCAGGAATTCTTTCGTTTTCTCTTGTAAAACTCCACTTCTTCGTTCGAAAACGTCTACACGGTCTGTTTAGGACCATTTGCATTGGTTATAGCAACCTGTGCTTAGATTCTGGGAAATCCTGTCGGAACGTAACATAAACAATATAAGTATTTCCGCGAACACTGTCTTCAAATTCGGAACATAAGGAGGACCAGTTCATTTCGTTTGTTTTTAGCATAAGGTCACGTTCTTCAAATATTTTAAATTTGCTTTTTCACACTCGCAGCCTAGCGTAAGCTTGTATCGACTGGGCAACCACTACGCTATCGCTAAGATCAAAGTAAACTCTACGGCTCTTGATATTTGAACCGGCCAACCCTGCTTTGGTTTCTTGGCAATTCTTAGCTACTCGACTATTCACGTGCCTATATTTTGACTCCACGGCTCTATTTCTTTTATATGACAATAAAGTTTAATTTTTAATATCCTAAGAGAAAGATAAATGAAAAATTATATCAAGCGAAACGGTTTAGTGTACACAATACTAGGTTTTTCCAATCTACACCTTTTTAAGTTCGTTTTGTTCTGTTCTCTTTAATTTTTGTAGCTACTATCGATACTAAACAAATCAAGGCACGCCATCCTTAGGCACAATAATGATTTCGTTTCGTTTGCAAGACTTAATTACATATTATACACCAGAGCTCGCATGAGGCACATATATTCTGAAATGGGAGCAGGGGCTCTGGAGTCGATTTACGTACGATCTCCACATTCGGTTATCTGTGATGAAAATGATTCGCATAAGCGCATAATGCAAACGCAATTTAAAGGAAAGAATTTGCGAAAGAGTGAACGAGTAGAGGTATCGATATTTTACGGCAAGGAAATGAATTCGTATATGGTATGAATACATTTCAACGGTACACATACGTAAAAATATTCGCCTTTTAAGTTAATGTTACACGTTTTTCCGATCCAAACTTCCAATAAATACAATTATTTACTAGAAGGAAAATATTAAGTTTACCTTTCCTTATATTTTACTGTTATTATATTATACGATTTTTTAGTTTATACGATTTATTCGTTTTTTCTTTTCTTTATTTTAAAATTCAATTTTATGCAAAATGTTTTGATATTTGCTTCTTTCTGTTCTGTTCACTTACCGGTGGTTCGCCATCATCCTTTTGCCAGCGCGGCGTGCTGGGTGGATTGGAATCAACATCGCATTTCAATGAAACTTCTATACCCTCTCGCAAAGGATAGCCAAAGCCGGGCGTACGAGAAATCGCAAATGAAGGCGTATCTGCAAGAGTAATACAAAAAAAAAAAAAAAAAAAAATGAAAAATAAAATAACAAAAATTAAAATTTTATTAAATTTTTTCATTTTTGTTTTTTTTTGAAAAATAAAAAAAAAAAAAAAAAAAAAAAAAGGGAAAACAGTAATCAATGTATTGCGGTTACGTAATTTTTTTATGAATTTTAATTTTTCATCAATATCAATATTTAGAGAGATTTTCAATCAAAACCACAACATCATACAAACTGTGGTTTAAATACATATTTTTTATCTCACACCTATATACATATTTATTTGTGTGCATATATGCACAAATATATGCATATATAGACATGTTTGTTTGTTGTCCTTTAAATGTTGTTGCAATTCGTTCATATATAAAAATCAGTGAGATACAAATTGTTTCTACACATTAGTCTCTTTAGAATTGATATGATTTATTTGAATGACCGAGTCGAGCACCAAAGCAGGCAAACAAATCTGTCTGTCTGTCTGTCTGTCGGTCTGTCTGTCGGTCTAACTAACTAACTAACCAACAACTGTCTGCTTGTTTGTCGCTTCATTTTATTGGCTTGTATCTGCATCTATGTTTTTGTGCAAACACAGCTGTACCATATAGGGATGCATTCTAATGGTATTTAGTTTCTATGCTTTATTTATTCATTCATGACCATCCAACTGACTGCCTGTCTATCAACTGTCTGCAAATTCTATTTCTGATCACTAGACACAAAACAATTCATATGTGAGCCATTTTTATACTATTCATTTTAAAAAGAGAGTTACAGAGAGTGGGTGACAGACCAAAAATGAGAGGGAAAGAGAGACAAAGTGAACGAGAGGGAGAACGAGAGAGAAAGGTGGGAAAGATTGTGTAGGGCTTTTCCCTCTGAGTTTTTATTTATATCTTTTTTTTTTTTGTTTTTAACTTTTTCAGACTCGTATCTCTTGGGTTTGCATTATTAGCAACAAAAGCCTAACAGTCGTTATCACAGTGATATGTGGTTGGTTACTTTTCTAAATGCTTTGTTTTTCGCTTTGCTAAATGCTTTTCTTTCTTTTTTTTTTTGCTATTACGAAATGGATTTATTAACTTAACCTCAGGTATATAAATGTAAAAGAAAATACAAAAATATTATGCATAGTTACAGTTGGTTGGGTTGGAACGCAAGAGAGATGCTTCAAAACATTTCTAATTATTGAAAATATTCTACTATTCATAAATTAAATATGAACGTCGAATGTGAATGTACAATATATGTGTATTGGCACACATTAATCGAGAGGTGTGGCCACTTATCGTGGAGGATGAATTTAATTTTCGAATAGTTATGCAGGTAATATCGCGTATACATTATGGTACATTGGTGGGGTGAAAGGATTATCAGTAGTGAAGGGGAAAAGCGAGCAAAGACTATTTTCAATCGACTTCAAAGAGAGAGAAAGAAGAGAGAGAGATGGAGACGCAGAGACTTTTACTCGTTTGCAGATTACCTCTATATTGTAAGGGTCTAGAACCTGAAGAACAATCTGAATCATTATCTTTCTGGATTAAGGTCTCTTATGTTACTAAGCATAGGGAACTTTCATATTTTTTGAAAGTTTGTAGATTTATAAAATTTTTTAGAAAATCAAAATTCCTTATAATCGAATAACAGGAAAGAATTTCTATGAAGACGAATAGAAAAAAAAAAAAAATCTTTTGACCTATATCTGTCTTTCTCTCTTGTCGACTTCATACTTTGAAAATTTGATACCAGGCACAGAAGAAAATATCTGACTCAGATTGCAATAGCAATAAGAAATGCAGACAGCCGTCCCCTAATTTTCTCTTTATGGATGTAGGCAGTAAGCGTATTCTACGCAGACAACTTGAAATTGATTCATTAAATCTAGGAAAACTAAGGGAAATGGTCATAGTTTTGAAGAAGATTTTATAGACTTTGTATTAATAAAATGCAGACAAGCAAGTTCGCAAAAAAATCACACCAAAAAAAAAAAAGTGTGATTCAAGATTCGATCTAAACTGAACTTTAACTGGTTTTTCTTTTGTTTTTTTTTTTTTTTTAAACAAATTTTACCAAAAAAAAAGTTATAGCTTTTCATATATTTAAGTCAAGTTGAAAGATTTTTATTGCTGTTTTGGGTGTTTAGGGAAAACATCACTTTTCGAGGAAACGAATTGTAGCAACTATTCATTTAGAAATGCCAGGCAACACTTTAACAACTTAACTTAACTTAAACGCAGGCACTGGGTATCCCCACTCATACATACATGTATTTGATTACTATCAAATCAAGATATATATTAAATAAGTCATATCGTTCGCAACAATTTGAAATATCCATTGAATTAGGCTCGGCAACTATACGAGCAATTTGAAAACGTCCTTTACTGGCTCTGATCGTGAAAGAAGCGTTTAAACACAACTACATTACATGGAAAGTGGCAAGCATTCAAAATTGATGCACAACCCAATGCAATGCATTTTAGACTAACAGGTTCTTCAAGGATATTAAAGTTTTATACACAAGTAAGCGTTCGCAGTTCATATATCAGCCGCCATCGATGATGATGGGTATCTAATATTCGTCCACAATGTCTTTTTGTCTTCTCTTTCATTCAGTTTTATTTACGCTAGCTGTAGTACTGTATAGATGCATTTAAAGGCCATACCGTGTTGAGTGAAGCAAAATAGAACATTTTCTAACATTTTTCCTACCTTTGCATTCATTCATACAATTCATAAACGTTTATTGTTATTACTGTTGTTGATGTTGCTTTGCTAGAGAAAAAAAGTGAAGTATTACTGCAATTTCTAGTGTTAAGAACAAGCAAAGCTTTTACTTTCTGTAATATCAACAATTTTTCAAAACAAAACAAAAAAAAAACGGAAAAATTGTACGGGAGAGGAATTATAATACAATGCATAAGAGAAGCAAGTGAAAGGGAAAAGTATTCAAAGTATTAAGTGCACAGTTATGGTAATAACTAGATGAGACGATGATGAAGATAAAGCTGTAAATGTATACAAAACACGCCCATTGGCAAATGTCCAATTTGCCGTTTTTTTCGATCTTTCCAGCAAGTTATTTAACTTAAATGTGTTTAATAAATGCTTTTTTAAAAAAAATTTCTAAAAAGTTTAGGAAATTTTTTCTTTTTTTTTCGCATAATTCCGGCGAGAGAGATTAGGTTTTTGAGTTTCAATGCTTATGATTATTAAGTCATTCCTTGGCGATTGACTTGTAATTTTTAAAAGAGCAGAAGACTAAGTAAAACGACACATTTATGCTTTCGTATTACATACGCGTTATGTTAAGTGCGTAACCGATAACAAAGCATTTGTCATTGGGCTCGCGTTCATCAATACGATATGTCGAATACTTATGAATATCGATTAAATATACACTGTCCACGAAATATCTATTATCGAGAGCATTGATATATACTGACATAGCTAACTACTTTGGCCGATAACTCATGGCTAAGTGTGATAATTTTCTGTTGCTATAATTCTCGCCTCTTTCGACCAATGCTGTCAATCATGGGGCTCATGTTGTTTGACATCCAAATTAAAATGATTTACTAGTGAGCTATGCATGTGTTGCTGCCTTTACTTTCGAACCTAGCCGATGCACAAGCCTAAGACATACGTTGCGTTGGCCAGCAACACCTTGCCATCGTTAATTGAGGACATGCAAGTATGTTGCAAAAATATAATGACACCATAGTTTAGGTTAGTATAGGTTTAGGTTCTTTTGCATTAAAGGCCATTTCATACCCATTAAATTGGGCATTAAGGCGATAGCCTTAGTTGCTAGTGCTTTAGGACTTTAGTTTTTGGATTTATTTGACTGATTAAATTAATAATAATAACAATTGGGGCATTAAGCGTTTATGAGAAACAGTCACTTGCAGGCTTTGTAATTAGTTCAAAGCAAATTAATTATAAAAATGATAGAAATCTTCAATCTCGAGATTCTTTAAAGTATCTACAAAAATGTTTTTCAGACTTTTTAAAGGCATAATTAAGGCATGGCAGCTCTTGAAGAACAATACCTTTCTTTCTTGCTTGCAATTTTTACCTCGAACAAGAAACCGCACACATCGTGAAAATTTTTTAGGTCTAAACAAAAAGTTTTGTGATAACTCTTTTGAGATAGAAGAAAGGTACCCGAGTAATAGTACTCGGAAAACTTATTCGGCACATTGTTAAGTACTACAAGAGAAACTATTTTGAAAAATATTACAATGTTGCAGAATCGGAGCTATTGTCGTGAGGCGTCTTCTATTAAAAGAGCTCGCTTTTTACAAATTAAGATATAATTTAAGCAAAAAAACAAAATAGCCTTGACTTAAATTTTCTTTTACGTTGCGGGGAAAAAATCATCAAGGTCAACTCTTAGATTTAAGAAAAGGTGGGCGAAGGAGTTTGCCGATTCTTTCGTCACAAAAACCTTATACGTATCTCTAATCAGTGCCATTGCTGGGAATTCCGCAGATGTTTCCTCATTAAGCTGTAGTTATTATGTGCAGTTACGTGGAATCTGCTACCCATTCACGTGCTTAACTGGGGGCCCTCCTTATGCGAACTGACTCCTTTCAATCAGTCTAAACACTCTGGAAAAGAGAAGGCTGGTCCTTGCTGTGAGCTAAGTGTTGCAAGGGCGAAGTAGATTCTTTGCTTCCATTGAACAAGCTTAGCTTTGCTGCCCCGAGCAGAGTCTCTAAATATGTAACTATTCATAGTTAAGCATATAAGCAAAAAATATTGGGAAATTGGGGAGTTTTAAAAAATCTCTGTCTTACTTTTAATCTGTGTTCAAATTGACATAATGTGACTAAGAAAAGTCGGGAATTTAGAAACTCGGAAAAAAAATCTAAAAATGATATTACCCTTTAATTTATAGTTGCACCTAAGATTTAGTGTTACATGGCACCTGTTGTTTACGTTTAGATCACAAAAGGCAAACGCATTCTGGTAGAACTTCAACTCTGAATTGCTAGGGTCGACTTTAAACCTAGAAATGTGCTCTTACTTTCTGGGCGCAAAACAAATGAGCAAAAACATTCCGAAAGTTAACTGAGGGATTTTTTATTTCGCGACTGTTCTTCCTTAAGCTGCTGACGCGACCTTTAAGCCTTTATATGACAATCAGTTCGATTTATATATATTAAGGGATACAACTCTCAGATACACAGAACTTGTTCATTAGATAAATTCTAAAGAATTTTTTTCTTTTGCAAAGAGTTCAACTTTAAGGTGACTACGCGTATTGTAAGCCTTTAAATGCTTTCCGATTTGCATTGCATTAAATAATTGATGAAAGAATGCCGGTAACATATTGTTTACTTATCATTGACCATATAAATTAAGCATTTGATAATAAACTCTATTCACTATAAAATCTCTCAGCAAAGAACAGACAACAATAAAACTTAAGTTGTGGTTGCATTATTAATAGTATTTATAATGTACAGTTAGACGTATAACAAATAAGAAAATTATATGCACTTGGACGTATAACAAACAAGAAAATTATATTCGCTTGTAACCAAACTTCCCATACCCATTACCGTTAGCCTACAAAAGGCTAAAAGACAGAAAAAAAAAAAAAAAAACGATTTCTCATCCTTTGTAATATCGAACGCGCGCGTTTGATTTTGCTCTGCTTTCACAATAAAAGTGGAAATACGTCTGATGTGTGTGTCGTATTTTATGAGTAAAAAGCGAAAACACGTAAGGCAGAAGTGTTCACAACACAGACATGCCCTTTGAAAAGTTGAAGTCAATTCCAAACTTCTTTTGTAGGCGTTCTTCTCATTTTCATTTGATGTTTACCACAGTACTATGCAATTCGGCAGACGAAAAGGCAGAGATGCATGGGTGCATTCAAGATATGAAACTGACCAAAAAATTTATATGCTTTTTAAGGTTTGTGAAGCTTCCACACCTTTACAAGGCGCTGAGAAAAAACATTCAATTTTGATACACAATAATAATGGGCAGGCCTGGACAAATTTTTCCATTTCTGTGCGCGTACTACAGCATCGTGTTCAAATTGTTGTAAATATATCTGCTATACTTGATGCTCAGGAAGAAAAAAAAAACAATTTTGTATTTATTCTGAGAAACACAGTTGTTCTCAGTTTACATAGTGCTGTAGGCGTGTTTTTCGATCGAATCGGCTCATTTTCAACAACAATCTTCATGCAAGACCTTACAATATTTCTGCTAAATTTGAAGTCGATAGCTTCACTTTTGCGGTTAGGAGAATATTTTTCAACAGACATTACAGAGAGGGACAGATGGACAGATGCCTAAATCGATTCAGGATTTGATGCTGATCAAGTACGTGTAGACTTTGTTGGATCTTTGAAGCTTCCTTTTTCCGTTTGTCAAAATGACTATATCCCTGATCCTTCGGTGATGGGTATAAAGATTGAATAGAAAAAAGAGGTTCAATGCGCTCTCAGTTCCACGAATTCGTTTTGAACTAGGAAAAGAACAGAAAAGAAAGAAAACATTTTTTTTTCCTTTTAATAGAAATTCATATGCATTACGGACTTCATTAATAGTCCCTCGAAGAAAGTCTATATTTCAGCCGATTATATAAACTAATGTAAAAGATTTTTCCGATTAAATATCCGTAAACCTTTTTCTGTCAAAGTGCAAAGGCTAATCTCATCAAGAGTTTTCCACTTAATAACTTATGATTTTTTTGAAATTCACTTAAGTTGACTTTGCCTTGGGAGACTTTACTTCTATGATTATTATTATTGCATGAATGAAATTTAAAAAAAAAAAAAAAATCTCATTTACATCTCAATCCATTGTTGCCTACAAAAATATATTCATTACGAATTTTTATTTATTTATCCACTTGTGTTTTTTATTTAAAAGCATAATTTCTGTTATATCAATATACTCAGTTATTAAGAATATGAGATTTACTCGATGCGGAGAGAGTAGTAGTAATTGCTTGTCCATAAATATATGTATACAGATTGAATCGATATACTTACATTGCACATCCAGTAGCAGTGATGCATTTTGACGTATTTTAAGTGTGGGATGTTCCATAACGCATAATATGCGCGCATTATGATGGGTGCGATATACGGCCTTTAGGCGAGCTTCACTTTTAGCGCCACTATTAATTTTATACGTATTTTTATCCTATAACGAAATACCAACAGAGATACATATATATATGTTTATATATATATTTAGTAGTTTTTTATAAAGTTAAAAATTTTTTGTGTTTTCCCATTTTTTTTCCCCGACCAGATATTATCTATTGTAATGGGGGATTTTTTACACGCCAAAAGGTATGCATAAAGTTTTTAAATTGTTTTGGAAGATTTTTTGTTTTTGTGTTTTGGACGAATGATATGAAAACATGTATATATATATATTTTTTTTTGTTTTTTTTGTTACTTCATTTTGCTTTGCTTTCGTTTTTGTTTTCAGTCGGTTTTCCGTTTTCTTTTGTTGTTTTTGTTGCTGCTACGTTACTCATACCAAGTCAACAAACAAACATTATTTTAAATTTTTAAAAATTTTCAGTATTTTTTTGTTTCTGTGTGTATTATGTGTATATATATATATATATACTACATTTACGTGTGCTTACATGCTGCTGCGTAACACACCGGCTGTTCGGTTTGGCTTGTGCTAAACTGAACCGAACTGAGTAGTTGAGTTGCCTGTCTGATGTGTTGTATAAATACAATGTTAACAATTTGCATACCAACGCTTTTACATGAAATATGTGGCTTTTCTCTCTTTCTCTCTCTCTCTCTTTTCTTCTTCCCCTGTTTTTTCCGGTTTTTTTTGTTCTTTTTTTTTTTGCATTGCTGTTATTTTTGTTGTCTGTCTGTCCAAGTGTAGCTTGCTACGAACGAATGCTTCAACTATGCCTTTATACAATTGCGTGTGTTTATGTGTTAACAGATGGTTACACAAAAGTTTTTTGCATATTTGTGTTACCGAAAAGGAATGTTTACAAAAAATGTTTTCTAAAATATATAAATAAATTAAGATCGTTTTTTAGAATAATTAAATAGTAGCAAATTCATCGAATCGCATATATTCGGAAATTTTCCGAAATGTCTCATATGAGAGGATACATCTTTTCAAGGTTAGTAAGTAATGCTTTAAAGAACGACGCATACCTTAAAGATATAAACTCAGCCCCATAATTTTCATTATCTTGTTTTGTTTTTTTTTTGCGCCGTTTATATAAATTTTTATATAAACTTTTGTACATTTTTAGAAAAGTTTTATCGATAAACTGCATTGAGAAAAAATATACAAAAAAAAAAGGAAAAGAAATTTCAATAAAAACTAAATCAATAAAATTTATATTCCACCAATCTTTAGATTCAAGAAGAAGAGATGACAGCATTTTTGTCGCATGTGAGATTTTAAACTAAAAAATTCTTTGATCATTGTTGTGCTCTACTTTCGTTTACTTCTTTTAAATTATGAAACATTTATTCATCTTTTTTTTCTTTTTTTTTTTTGAATTTTTTTATCAGAACCCACTATTTTTTGTTTTTTAAATGAAGCTTAATTAAGTTTAAGTGAATGCGATAAGTGAAACATTAAAGTGAACTGCAACAAATCAAGAGCTTCTTCAGCTTCAGTTAGGTAAAGATTGTTTGTCTCTGTACCGTATACATATATGTAACGGATTCTATTGATATAAGGGAATTATAAAATTTGAATAACTATAGCTTCGACAGGAGAGAGAAACATATCGCGTAGTTGGTGAACAAAACGACTTATTAAAAATGAAGTTCGATTTAATCTCCTTTCCTTTTGATTTGCATACAATCAAAGAGTCTCTTAAGTTCAACAGATTCCAAACATGAGGTGTAAAAATAAAATTAAGTAACGATATCATCACATAACAATAACACCTCTACCACCTTAAGCAGAAAAAGAATGAAAAGAATGCTCAAGCGCCTCTTGCGTCAACTTGACAGTAAGACTTTTAAAGTTTTTTATACAATTTCAGTGCATAATATTATTGGAATTTAAATAACAAAAAAAAAAAAAAAAAAAACTTTGCTAATGTTAGCACAACGGAAATAGACCGTATATTACGGCATAAAATAAATTGTTTTGAAATTTTAGTTTTTCTCTAAATCCATTTCGCGGTAAATTTAGCACAACCTATGCTGCACTTTTCATTACATGAATATCTTTACCTCTCTATAACCCAATTATTATAATTAACAGTGCATTCTTGATTAATGAGACGTACAAGTGGTTCTCACGTAAGTAAATAGCGAGAAGCCGAAGTAACCTTTAGTTCAATAAAACGAAAAGTTTATTTATGTCAAACATTTGTTAGATCAATAACAGATTTTTATATCATTAGGGCTTAATATATTTCAGACGATCTAATATTAGATGTGTAATAAAAAAAGTTGCATTAAAAGGCTTTCCTCACTTTAAACAATAAAAAGATCATTTCTCAAGCCCACCTTATTATTACTATACGAGACGAATGATAGTAGTCAAGATAGTAAGGAAGAAAATTATTTTCGACAATGGAAGAATCACCTTTGCCCACCTTTATCCTAAAAAAAACAAGAAAAAACAATTGAATACCCTACATCACTCTACAATTAATCATGTAACGATTTTTCAAAATAAGGCTCTATATAGGAAGTTGTCGAGGAAGTAGTTTGATCTGGATCAAGAATTTCTCCTGGTTCCCATTGATGGGCTTAAATAAGCTCCTTTTAATCAGGGTAAACCCTCTGAAAAAGGAAATTGACGCGAGTAGATCGAACATAAGCAATAAAGACGGACGAACGGACAGGCAAGCTTTGGCGAATCTCGATTCAATCGGTATAATAAAGGATGAAACTCTCTCAAACCTTTCTCGGTGTTGCATACCTACACACAAACTTAATGTATCATAGTATCCCAAGTAATAATGATTTAAGATCAGTAGGAAAACCATATTCGGCTATGGCCGAGACTTTTATGTTCAGCACCTTTTTCTTAAAAAACGACACAAAAAAGATAAATTAAATTTTTCCTACTCTCCAAAATTGGGTGGAATAAGTCTGCAAATCTTCCTCGTTGCTTACTGGTTTATAAATACGTTAACTTTGACCGACTTAGTCTATTTGCAGCACATGTCTGCTCGGAAGAACTTCGTATACTTCTGTCAAATGCGAAGCCGATATCTTCCCTTTTGCGAGCCAGAGATATTACGCAAACAAACAGACACACAGATGGACATACTTAAGTCGTTTGAGAATTTAGTGCTGATCGAGAGTGTACTGGCTTTACGGGGTCTCTGAAGTTTTCTTCTTAACGCGGCAAGCTTTTCGGCACAAGAAATATGGATTTTAGATATAAAAAGAAACGAAAGAAATTCAATTACAATAATGTTAGGCAGTTGTGACCACGTTTTAGTTTTGTGCAGACCCTGCTGCACCCCTTGTAGGATATTCGTGGAAGTTTACATCGCCCTGTCTCTTATATTTTTATTTGTGAGTAATTAACCGTAAAATCCATTTTTCTTTTGCTCGTAAAAGTGAAACTGTTTTCAGTTTATGTTGTATTGTAAATGTGACCTTGAAGCTTTTTCAATCCCAATCTCCTTCCAAAGGTTCACAAAGTTTTTACTGATCTTGAAGTTTGAGTTTCGCATAGAAATATAGGCGGTCAGGTAGATGGACATAGAGACCTGAAGGCATCCTCAGACTCATTTAGACTTTCATGATGGAAGAGAATACACGCACTTTAGAGAACTTCTAAAGCTGCCTTTCGGATTTCACAAATATTTTGAGAAAGTGAATAGATCTCCGCCTCTCGGTGGTACGTATGACGAATTGTTGCGACGAGATTAAAAAAAAAATTGAAAAATAATCTTTACTACTAACTGCTGACTACCTTGCTTATAGCACCAAACGAAAAATTCAATTTATAACAAAAAGCATTTCATTAAGAACAATAACAACGATTTCAAGCCTGAAGAATTGCAAATTATTTTTTTACGAAAACTTTTGAAATAAAAAAACTCATCAGTTTTACGGTATGATTTGTTTTAAAAGCTTAAGTATTTTTTTATAAACTCGGGGAGTTGACGATGTATCTTAAGCTTTTCATGTTAAACATTTAATTGCGTTATAAATAATGGCAACGTGACGAACCATTTCTCATACGACTTGAATTAGGCAAAGATATATTATTCTTTAGCAGTTATATTCTTGGTGTCTGGAAAGTATTGAACTCGTTAATGGAGATTTGCAGTTCGACATGTATATCATTTGCAGTTTTTTCTGCGCTGGAACGTTTGTCAAACATATGGAATGTAATTCACTACATGAAAGCTGAAATTCGCTCTGATACTTGAAGGAAATAAGTGATGGAATGCGTTTAGTTGTGTAGTTGTACTCCGGAATCTTTAATTGTCGAACAACGTGTCATTAGCACATGTAAAATATGTATGCAAAGCGAAAATTATATGAAGTATTGGACTTAGAATATTTTTCCGGAACACTCCGCCTTCAAGTTTATATTAGTTTGGGGAAAAAGAAATCCATTATTTTTTCGGTAGATGGCTGCACTGATAGATTTCTCGTAAAGTCAACAATTTCATATTTATGCTCAAACAATTTCATATTTATGCTCGTTGGAAAGGTGACATTTCGCAGTAAAAAAAATTCTTTTGCTGTGTTTTGGAATGGAAGTGAACAAAGAGAAAATTCGGTACATTTTACAGTTTTTCTTTGACAAAGGCGAAAATGCCAGCCAGACGGCTAATATTCTGAATGGTGTTTATGGGTCCGATACTGTAACAGCCAATTATGTGCAATTTTGGTTTCGTAGATTCCGTTCAGGAATTTTTGATGTTAAAGATGCACCTCGCACAGGTAGGCCGGTCGTCGAAAATATCGATAAAATCGGAGAAATGATCGAAGTTGACAGGCATGTTAGCAGTCGTAACATCGCTCAGGAGCTAAAAATCGACCATAAAACAGTTTTAAACCATTTACACAAAGCTGGATTCAAAAAGAAGCTCGATGTTTGGGTGCCACACCAATTAACAGAAAAAAACATGATGGATCGAATTTCCATCTGCGAAGCCTTGGCCAAACGGAATGAGATAGACCCATTTCTTAAACGGATGGTGACTGGAGATGAGAAATGGATCACATATGATAACCCTGTGCGAAAACGATCGTGGTCAAAGAGCGGTGAAGCACCTCAAACGGCCAGGAAGGTTTTGCTATGCATTTTGTGGGACTGGAAGGGGATTATTTATTATGAGTTGCTTCCATATGGCCAAACGCTAAATTCTGATCTCTACTCTCAACAACTGGACCGTTTGAAGATAGCGATTGACCAGAAACGGCCAGAATTGGCCAACAGGAGAGGTGTCGTGTTCCGCCAGGACAACGCTAGGCCACACACATCTACAGTGACCCGCCAAAAACTTCGGGAGCTTGGTTGGGAAGTATTAATGCATCCGCCATACCGTCCGGACTTGGCACCAAGCGATTATCATCTTTTTTTTGCATTGCAAAATTTCTTTAATGATAAAAAATTGGAATCTAGGGAGGATTGTGAAAATCGACTACTAGAGTTTTTTGCAAATAGAGACCAGGACTTCTATGAGAGAGGCATTCTGAAGTTACCTATAAAATGGCAACAAATCATACAACAAAACGGTGCATATTTGACCCAAATCGGACAATCCGAAGCATGTTAAATAAAGTCCTGAAGTTCATATAAAAATAATGTATTTCTTTTTCCCCAAACTAATATATGGGATCTATTGTCTTCAACTTTGATGTACAACTGACTTTCGACATGAACAGTCGCTTACGATAATCTCGATATTTGTGAGAATTTCTTTTACTTTTTTTGTGAATTTGCAGTGCGTCGTTATTTGTCGCAATTAATTAAGGGAAATAGAAACCACATGGAGAGAAAAACCAATGTTTTCATCTTGATGTTTTACATTTATTTCTTCTTCATTTACATACCTAACCAAGATAGATTTTTCAAAGAACAATTAAGTGGTAATGCTCGTAATTACGGTAGTTGGGCGTAATCTTAATTAATTGTGCGAAAATAATCTTGTTGAGTTGTGTGTCGCGAAGGACCTTTAATCAATTAAAATATTTCGTGAAAACATCGCGAACGAATTATATTTTGCCAAACTAAACTTTTCTTCATTCTGAGATTGAATGTTGCTACAGCGTTGCCCAAAGATTTGTGACGTGTACGTTGGGTTTACTAGCGATAACAAGATAAAAAGTTATGATTAATTCTCCAAATCTACTTCAGCTTCATTTGGAAGCTTCAAGCCAATATAATAATACACCGGTTGCGCCAGATGAAATGTAAGCAAATTAATTCTCATAAGTTATATAATCACAAGAGATCTATACAATCTTCATACGTAATATATGCACAATAACTCTACAGCAACTCCAGCTGGTTATCAGCGTCAATATATTCGATACGCAACAGCGCAATACATCAAACAAGTCAAAGTGACGATAGCCCTTGAAAATGTGTTCATTGTTGGCAAAATCATTCGGCCAATTATAAAAGTTGTTGCACACACCAGTCACTTTTTGAAAAGGAATTTCAGAATTGTATTTCACGCAGATCACCGCATGGTAGGCATAATATTAATTTGTCGTTTAACTAAGAAGATTTCCCTTTGCCTAACAGAAAACGCTCAATAGCACATTATACTGGTCCGACTAATGGTAATAATAATCCTTCTAATCATCATTGCGCTGATATATTGAAAAATTGTAATGCATTTTAAAAAATTGAAGATTTGCTTAATAAGCAGGTTTAGATAACAAGCACTCTTATCTTACTAAGCGAATGGGTTTCCCAAGAACATTCACAAAGTAGAATTATTCCTTCATCATCCGTCATTAAAAATTTTATCGACATTTTTCTTATGTCGGATACTCGTTTTACAAATTGTCCTCACTTCAAAGTCAACGGATAGAATTTACTAACTGCCAATAATCCTGATGATAAAATTCATGCTGGTTGCACGATTCTAACGAAATCTGCTATTGGGTACCTGTATAGTTCGAATAATTTCAGAAAATCGTTTCTATAAGTTTCTTGTACTAAAGCTAATCGCAACCTAAAACCCCTTATAAACACCTATGTAAAACTATATGTGTAGGGATTATCCCCTGATACATAAAAACCAAATGAGAAAATTATATTCGGCCGTGACCGGATCTTTCACATGCCCGCGTGCGGTCGTGGATAATTTTTTTTATTATCAGGCAGGCGTGTCCTTGGATAAGTTTACGTCACTTCCAAATTCTTTTGCAAATTTGTAGACGATATCTTCATGTTTAGCATAAACACTACACAAGTGTACAGACAGACATATGGACAGATGAGCGGAAGGTCCATTCCAAATTTGAAGCTAACCAAGCATGTATATACTTTAGGGAATTTTTGAAACTTTTTTCTGCGCCTTATAAAACCTATATAATATTGGATAGGTGTGGTCAATTTTCTCCAATTTTTGTACATAAAATATGCCGTCAAATTTTTATATCTGCTTTAGCTTAGGAGTAATGAGCAAAAAATCAATCATTTTTTTCATTTTGAAAAACAGAAGTGGTCTCAGCCTACTATGGGCGTGGGCCTACCGATCTTCGTGCAAGAGTTTCCAATGTCTCTGCTAAACTCAAAGTAATTTTTGCTGTCACGAGACACTTTACAACAGACATTATATAGAGAAACATGCTTCAATCGATTTTCAATTCGATGCTGATCAACAGAACATATATATACAAATATATATATATATATAGTTTGCGGTATCTTTGATGCGAAGGTTTTGGCATCCGTCGGTGATTGCATATAAAAATATATAAATAAAATAGTGTTTGGCTTTAAAAATGAAATATTAACATGAAATAATAATAATGTTCATATAAAAGAGTTTAAGTGCTTGGCTTTGAAACAATTCCATTCCTTTGAGAGAATGCAAGCCAAGTCAAGGTAAATAAAGAAAGGAGAATAGAGAAAAAACCGAAACGATGAAATGATTTCTATATGTTAAACCGAGAGGCAGAAGTCATGGTTAGGAGTATATTATTAATTAAAAATTTTCAATTAAATCGCTCTTTATGTTGTAAACAAAATGAAGTGCCTGCCCGTGCATGTGAACATGTGTTCATTGCTTTTATATTTGTTTTATATCCTGTTAGATGCTGTTAGTCTTCCGTTTTTCTCAACTTTGCAAATAGCGTTCTTTCCCTTGCAATTTTTTTCATGTTCAATTTTTTTCTTTTGAAATCATCGCTAACCACGTGGTATTAAATTAATTTTATTATTCCGTTTGTAATGGGGAAAAAAAAAATTCCTATAGATTTTCTTAGGATACTTAGCTTATCGAGAGAGAGATAGTACTTTATATATATATATATATATATATATATATATACGAAACTCGGCCAAACCTAAAGCTATTTTCATGTTGTTTGGTAAGCTGATAAGTTGGAATTTCATACAATAGTTATGCAATTAAAATCTGCCTATAAGTTGCAGAAATAGTTGTTACGATCCAACTGAGACGCCCACAATCATAAAGAAAATTTCTGCCTTGAAATTGTGGCTGGTGTCTAAGCTTAGGACTAAAGGGTTTCCCTAGGTTTCATTTTTTCTTGTTGTCATCAAAGAAAGAATGGTACGTTATGTTGTGAAAGTCATTAGTAGCATGCAGGGATAGATACGAAAGGAGTCTCGAAGAATTGTGATAAGCCGTTTTTTTTTTCATCGTAACGCCCCTAAGCTAATTATGTTGTATTCATTTACTTGTTTGCCTCTACGTTCTGCGTATGAAAACGAATGTGATCCGCGAATAAAAAAACTAAACAATTCCTTATATAAATGTTGGGTATTTAAGAGTCGCCGCTTTATGTGAACAAAGTTGTGCTTTATTAGTTTATCTTTGTGTTTTTTTTTCCTTTTTTTTTTTTTTGCCCCTTTGATTTCATTTACTTGGTCAGCATTTATTATTCAGTCTTTGCTGTCGTTTCTTCTTTTTTCTTATCCTTCGTACACATTATTCTGTATAATGGATATTGATTATATTGGTGTTGGTAAAGAATTTTTATGATTTTCTTTTTTGATATTTCACTGGAATCAGAATATTGAACAGCTCAACCTAACGATATTTGTTAAAATGAATAAAGAAAGCGAGAAAGAGGAGAGAGTCGATGTTGATGATGAGTTTGTGTTTTCTGCAAATTGTACAAATTTATAGCTATTGTTGTAAAAACCACTATTCGTTTTCCGCTAAATCCGTTTCGTTGCTTTCAACAATATATGAAATTTCGAATTTAATTTATTTTATTGAGTTTACAGCTTTTTTTTTATTTTTATTTTTATTATTTTTTTATATATATTTTTTTTTTTTGTTTGTTAAGACTGACCTTTTCATTTTTGATTTCTTCCAATTCCATATCCTCAACGGAAACCTTTTGTGCATGTCTATCCACGCCAGGACTTAATAAAACTTCCCAAGTTAGGGTGGGTTTCGGATTGCCACCTTCACTAACACAAGCCAAGTTTAGTTCAGAGTTTTCTTTCACCGGCACGAATATATTACCAGCATCTAAGCGCCTTGAATCGATGAGCAAATAAGGTGGTTTAGGACGATCTAAGAAAGAAATGGAATATGTATACATTTTTTTTTAATTTTCTTTTATGCAATTAGTACAACAACGTAAAGATAAGGTAAAATGTTATTTAGAATTTGTTTAAATTGCTCTTAGTCCTATTGATATTTTTTTTTTTTTTTTTTTTTTTTAAGTTAAAGGAACCTTTCAGTTGACATTCAACATCCACAGTAGCGGCTCATACTTCCCTTTGTTTCCATGGTGTCAAGCTTTCGTTTGAGGTCAGAATTATTGTCGTCAGTAATTATGAAAGTGGAAAACAAATTGTAGACCATTTTGTTCAATGATTCCGGAGTTTCCGACCAATATATAGAAAAGAAGTGATTTCCACAGACTTTGGTCGGAAATAACTTGAGACTTGAGTTGAACAAAATGATGATATTTTGTAAACTATAAAGCCATCCATGAAGCGTTCAAGACTGCTGTTGTTTGTCGGATGGTATACACAATTTTTTTTTGGAAACGTTAGTTAAGCTCGCTTTGATTAAGGACTAGGGAGCTCATGACGCGCATTGTGAACATAATTTTACTGCGTAGCTTTCCTATGGTTCTTACCGATTGTGCTGATTCGCCTCATTTCAACGATTGCGTTTCATTCATTCGTTGCATTTCAGCAGAGACACTTTGATAGAATACAAATTACTCGGACAAGATTGCGGTGTAGGGAAGTTGTTTGAGGATTTACGGCCTCAACATAAAGTAAAAAGTTCTTGGTCACAAAAATTGTGGAATGTGTTTGTCATTCATCTAACTCTCCCGCCAGTTATATGTTGGATAGTCGGTTAGGTGGGTCAATGTGAGCATTTTTGTGAAAATAGGTGTCATTAAGGATTTTTGAAAGACAACACCCCTATATTAATTAAAGATGAATTGGACACAGTCTATTGGGAAACAGCACCATCCTTTACCATGGTGATATTTTGGGTAGCTGAATAATGGAAGCAGGAGTGACGACGACCGGTCGAGGTGTGCACAAAGTTTAACCACTGGCGAAAACTTCACCTAAGTTCATCAATTTGGCGCTTGACAACTGAGGGTTAAGGAGATACCAGAGCCTATGAATTTTCGTAAGAATTGTATTTGTTACGTACGAGCATCACGAAATTGATGATGTATGCCACGTGTACTCATAGTTCAACAAAAACAGTGAATCGCAAGTCAATGTCTACACGGGTGAAAATTGTATAAACGGAAATCCATTGTCCAGCACCACTTGGAACGTTTTCTAGATCTAATCTCCAGCGAATAACTGTTAACAGATTTGAAAGAAAGTTCCACAGGAAAGAGGTTTCCATCAAAAAGTAAACTCATGGTGGAAATTGTAGACTATTTTAACGACTTCAGTAAAAAGATTTAAAGCAAAAGTTTTCATAAATTGATCTTTAAAAAATGTGTAGAAATGTCAGAGATCAATCCTTGAAGCTGAGTTCTACAGCAAGAAAGGTGATTCCGCTTACTTAGACAGTAAACTTTTCAGCCAAGCTATGCACTTTTGAAAATTATCCCTATTTACGGATTGGCACGTCAATATCTCAGATTTTTCGAGATTTCAAAAATTTATTAGAGAGACATATTTCAGAAAGGAAACATATCAAATTTGATTTGAAAAATATTATCAAACACTTACGCTGCCTGTTAAACAGGCAGCGTTCTCAAGATTGACCAGATGTGATTTCTGGATAAGTGATTATGCGATTGTCGATTATCGTCAAGATGTCAATGTTAAACAATTACTATTTCGTTATTGGATATGCTTGCTCGCGTTCATCTTATTCATATATTAATCGTTGTTTAAAATCGATTTTTTTTTCCTTTAAATTCTTTTACATTTTTATTTGCACTTACCCAGTACCACAAGTTTAACGGGCCTTGCGTTTAATGTGTATTGACGTGTGTTTTCGGCCTCGCATTGCCATTTTCCATCATCCTCCAGCATGACGTTGGTTATGGTTAAAGCACCGTTGGCCTCTTTGATAAAACGATAATCAGTTACCCGTGTTGTACGATCCATGGCATGAACTACCTACAATCACAGAAACAAGACCAAACCAAATGAATAAGCAAACTCACTCACAAGCACATATACAAATAAATGTGTACGCACAAAAGACATATTTTAATGAAGAGCATTTAATCTCTACTAAATTAATGAACGGACAATAATAAGAAAAAAACAAAAAAAAAGCAAAAAAGTGTTAACAATGCATACATTTATCGATTTTCACTGAGTTTAACATTTTTTTAAACAACTTAAGCTACTTAATAACTGTTTGATTCATAAAAATAAATGCAAATGTCAGTAAATAAAAAGAAAATCCTATCCTATCCTATCCTATCCTCTCTTCTATATCCCTTTATCGTGCCTTACGTGCTCGATTTTGTGCATGTCTATTGTATATGTGTTTGTGTTTTTTGAATGCAATTGTTACCTTAACTATTTAAATTAATGTTCATTTATTTTCTACCACCTCGAGAGAGCTTTAAAGTGATTATGATATTATTTTTTCTACTGCTTGCCATTATTTTTATTTAATTCTTCTCATTGTTGCCGGTGTTGTTACTGCGGTGCTTGACCTACGTTATTTTGCTATTTTAATAATAATGTAAAACATATTAATTCATAACTTTGCCTTCCTTCCTTTACTTTGTCTCTCTCTCTCTCTCTCTCTCTCTCTCTCTCACTTCCTCTCTCTTTCTGTAGCATATCCTTTGTCTTTCACTTCATATGTTTACGTTTTGGATAAAAATACGTTTTATACCATTGTCGAGGAAAATAAATAAACAATTGTTATGTTTTGCATACTTTTTGGCGTATTATTTAGTTTATATTTAATTGTTGTCCTTTTTTTTTTTTTGCTTTTTACTTACTATCTTTACCCTGCGGATATATTTGGGTATTACCGAACATATTTATGGCATTTTAATACCAACAGTGTCGTCCGTGGTAGTAAAATTTTCGGAATAAAAAGGTAAAATTTAAAGTTGTTTTCTTGTTTTTGTTTTTTAAACAAGTCGCAAAAAAGCAAAATTATTTAATTGTATTGAAAATTATCTTCAATTTTTCGGTCTCATTAGGGAGAATCCTTGTCTGCAGTTACAAGTTGTTTTTGGCGTTCATTACAGTGCCGTTCCGGTGTTTATTAAAAAGTTCCTACGTTGTAGTCACAAAGTTTGATATTGTTTATAATACGCTTACACTCTGCTAAAAGCGTCAACATATACCTAACCGGTGAAAGGACAGATCTTCCCGTCATTTCTGGTTACTAATCTGAGTGTTGCAGTGAGCATGAAACGTTCAAAGAATACTCTGTCGATGAAGACATAGCGTTATTGGTTGCACTCATCATCTCCCTATCTCTTTTTCTAACCTCACTGTATCACATACATAAAAGACATCCCCTGGTGTTATTAAAAACAAAAGAAAACTAGAATTGGTCTACAGCTGTTACGTCCCTTCCGATCTCTCCATTGCTAAATTGAACATGTTTCACGGAAAATTGTACTTACACAGAACCTTCTCTGTAAGAACTTAAGAACCGTTGTTAGTGATAAAAGCCTGGAGAAAGTCATATAGTTATTCATTAATAGACTTTCTACGGCGTAAATGACACTAACAGTCAGGAACAGTAACAGGAACAAAATAACGTCACAAAGCAGGGCCCGCTACTTTGAGTAAAGTATTTGTATTACTTAGATCCCTAGTAGTGAGGGTCTCAATTAATGAAGCGCACATGAGAAAATTATTGACAAGTGAGGGCTGGATTCGTAAAACTTTCAAAAAGGTTTGCATCGTTTTCAAAGGACTTGGGATGCACAACCTTTTTACATGCAATCATCTTAGAAACAAAAAAAGTGTTACATTGATAAAAGTACAGCACAGCTCGTTAAACCATGGTTAAATACCCTATGAAAGACCTTGTCTTTCGCACACTCTACTCGTATAATAATAAGAAAAATTAACCTTTGTTTTCAAACAAAAGGTTACTTTTAGTAGAAACTCTTAGCCATGGATGACCTATGTTGTCCAAGTTGATCGTAGGGAATTTAGAAAATAATTAACTCTTTTTGTACATATCTTCACCATAGAATAAAGAATAGATTTTGCTGACGTGAAGTGAAGAAGTCTTATATGTGAGAGGGTTTTTAAAAATGGTCCCAATGTATCCAAACTTTCCACATTCATTCAATACTATAAAATAGCAAGTTTTCACTGATTATTTTTTTGAGAAATACTACAACTGGGAATTTTTTTTGTACAACAGCCTTTTTAAAATGCACCATTCTATGAGGAATGGTCGCAAGAACGGTTCTATCCAATTGATTTTCGATAGAGTTTGTCCTTAGACTGTCAGTGGATCGAAAATTGCGAACCAGTGGATGAACAGAAGGACTGACGAATATGTATAATTGACCTATTTATTATATCGATGCGTACAATGGACTGCTGACATATTTCAAGTCATTGTTGGTTACTGAGCGAAAAAATAATATACCCCCTCTATAAGCTTATAACTAAAAAATTACTACCTGATCTACGCTGCTCAACAAATTCATTCGGTTTGAAGAATGAATTTCAAAGAGCTCGTATAAATCCGATGTTTATGTCAGCAAAGATCGATATCATCATAGTCATAATGTGATGGGACTTCCAGCATTTACTACAGCAAAACTTAAGCTGTTGATCTACCGAAATGATCCTTACTTACAATTCCCTCCTGATTTATGGAAATTAGACCGAAACTAAACACAGAACGACTGTATGGAACTTTAAGAATATCTCGTTTGTTCTCAAAAGATTTTCGATCAAGTATTTCCACTGCTTTTGAAAAACTAGTCATCTCATACCAACCATCCGACCATCAGAAAGAAGCCTTCAGCAATGTCATGCTTAACCACGCTGTATGGCAAGGCATCTAATGATTTCCTGTTGTTCGCACATGCCATGAAGCGATTAAATTTTCGAAAAACAATGTTGATGCATTCGAGAATCATGTCTCGCATATACCTGCGAGTGCAATAAAAACTCGATATAAAAATTAGTTTTTGCTTAGGTTTTTCGATCGTTTTTAACTCAATATATTCAGAGCAATCAAAGCGTCAAGTATTTGAAACATTTTGCAAATGTTTTCTAGATTTCTATTTTTATGATCGATTATTGTAAATTGTTATGCCGTTTGT